GGAGAAAACAGGAACAGAAAATCAGAGTGACAGCAAAGAAAATAACTATCAGTTGTTTTCCTTCTTTGATGTAGATCCATGATGGATTCTGAAGTAGCCTTCACATTATGGGGGGTTGGCTGTGTGGAAAATATGTATATTTATCAATTAATGAAAGGGAAGTGTTTTAATTTTGCCAGCTTTAAAAACAAATCTTACAAGTTCTTACATGATATGATTTCTACCCACCTGTTGTGTTATGGTTAAGTGCTACTGAGTCGGTTGCACTCCATAGCAATCCTGAATAGGGTTTCTGAGGAGTGACTGGCGAGTTTGAACCACCGATGTTATGGTTCAAAGGGACTTTGCAGTCAAGTGCATTAACCCACAGGGCCATGCTAGAACTCCTCTACCCACTTATTATAATATTAATGGTGATGCTTCAAAGTGGTCTCTGGATTCAGAACACATTGGCTTTCTGCATCTTGTTAGTAGACTCTTTGGAAACACAGTAGAGTTGTTTACTGGTATGTAAACAGAAGACTAGTGGCTAAGTCCTTTGATCCAAGTTTCCTTTTTCTCTTAGAGGTTTATAAATGTTTTCCAGGTTTTTATATATGGGGTTTTTTTTGTTTTTTTTTTTAATGTTCAGGAGCTATTATGCAAAATATATATTTTATTTTCAATGAATGAATAATAAGTCTTCTGTTTTTATTGCTTTTTAAAACATAACATTAGCATTTCTGATTCCATTCAGTTTACTTGTCAGATCAAAAAAGACCAAAAGCAGTTACAATTATAGATACCTGACTCAGTGCACAATAACACCAATCATAGGGACATAGTTCTGGTTTTCATTTCAAAGTAATCACTGATTAAGGCTTCTTTGAATTGGAACATGAATCAGCATTTAGCACGACTGTGTTTAAAACTCTACTGCAGATTGAGTGATAGGAAACCTCTAAATAGGGCACTGTTTGTACATAGTTTTCAGTATCTGTGCTTTACTTAGCTTTGTTAGACAATAGAAGTTTTGGTTCAGTTACATTTTTAACATCCCTTAAAATAAATCAGAGTGTTCCCATTTTGGATGTGAATTAGTAAGGTGGAGGAAATATAGAAGTCACAAGTGCTGAGTATCCAGGGATTATGTGCTGGAGTGTCTTGGTTAATGTTTTTTTGGTTGCAAGTAATGGAGACTGGCTCTGGCTAGCTTATGGGAAAAAGGAAGTGATGCTGGTGTGTTGAGAGAATATTTAGGTATCTCATAGAATTCAAGATTTAGGAAAGGAAGGGATCAGGACACTTTTGATCTCAGAAGTAGGAACTCATGTGTGTCTGCATAGGGTAAGGTAGTTGAAATGACTCATTAGATGACTCTTCACAGGAGATTCTGTGGGGGTCAGTTTTTCCCTTGTAGATCACTCAGTCAAAGTCAAAAAACAAACCTAAATCCACTGCCCAGGAGGATCCAGATGACTATGTACAGTGACTTCACAGGACAGAGCCGAATGGTCCCACAGGGTTTCCAAGGTTGTAATTCTTTTTGACAGCAGATAGCCTCATCTTTCACCAGTGGAGCAGTTAGTGGGATTGAATCCCCTTCGGTATGGTTACTAGCTGAGCATGTTAACCATGGCACCACCAAGAATCCTTAGTCAAGGTCATAGAAGCAGAGCCATATGGGCAAGCCATTTGATTCTGTGGGACCACACCTGCATTTTATGAGCATCTCCCTGAGAAGGGGAAGTTATAATGAACTTGCAGCCACAAGAGAAAGGCTTTCTATTCCTGTAGAGATTTACAGCCTGTGAAACCCTTCACAGGGTCGCCAAGAGTCAAAATCAACTTCATGGCAGTGGGTCTGGTTTGAGTGTGGTAGTCACTTGCGGGTGGTGGTCTACTATATGGCCTACTTTACAAACTTAATTCAATTTAATTTTCACAAATAGCCTATAAAATTTCTATTTCATAATTAAGAAAACTGAGTTCTACGATGTCCTATAGGGCCGGAATTGACTTAATGGTGGTGGGCTTCAGGCTTACTCATAAATGGGGGTTCACATTTCGGGGGGGGGGGGAAATTCCTACCTTTGTCACTATTCAAAGTGTGTTGAAGGAGAAGATTGAGGTGCCATGGGCTGCCAAAAGAACTAACAGATCTGTGTTGGAAGAAGTGAAGCCAGAGTGCTCCTTGGAGGCCAGGATGGCCAAACTTCATCTCTCATACTTCAGATATATTGTCAGGAGGGGCTGATCAGTCGCTGGAGAAGGATATCATGTTTGGTAAGGTGGAGAGTCAGGGAAAATGAGGAAGAGCCCCAATGAGATGGATTGGCCAAGTGGCAGCATCAATGGGCTCAAGCGTGGCAACAAATTGTGAGGTTGGCCCAGGACCGGGCAGTGTTTCGTTCTGCTGTGCATAGGTTGCTATGAATCGGTGCCAATTCGGTTGCATCTAACAACAACCTTTGTCACTGCACAACATTTAATTATCTCATTCTTTTAATGAATACTACCTGAGATGGTCTCTGTTTTTTGGATAATGAGAGTAAAAACAGAATACAGATTATTAGCTATTTCAATATGGAAGAATTAATGTGGTCAAATAATCAAAATTCTATGCCAAGATTATACTTCTCTGTATAGTTATCTGTAAGGACAACTCTGTGGGGGAAATAAAAAAAAACATTGTAGCAATCCAAAGGAATATATTTTTGCACAAGGTGGGTGTTTGCAAATATTCATAGATTAGAAGTATCAATTTATTCAAAATTACGTCAGACAACAATGAGTCTATGTCACCACTCAGTAAAAGAGAAACAAACTACAACTCTGTGGAGGTAAGGGGTGAAGAAGTGATCGGTGGAAAGCATTGTAATTTCTTCAAATCCTCACACCTGCGCTTCAGTGAACTCCTAGCTTCATGTTTATTCAAATCAGATCTGAATAACTTGTAACAGTATCCTATCGTTTAAATTTGATGATGAAAAGCATCAAGTGATTTTATATAAGTGACCATACCATTGCTCTATTTACTTATTCATGAATTAAAAGATCTCCTCCAGTTCCCCTGCACCTGCCCCCCAGAGTTTAGGACTTTTAAATTTGTCCTCCAGATTTACCACATTGCATTTCAAATCAGTGGCCCACTCGCTTTGATTTCTTAATTGCATTTCTTTAGAAAACTGAGTTGTTATGAACATTTTACAGACTCTTGGTAATTAGTAACAGTTAAAGATATTTGATAAACACTATTATACAAATTTAGGGTGAGCCAAGAATGGAATATCTTGCAGAAAGCCTTTGTCCTTGGTTCTTCTGAGCCATACCAGCACTGAGGCTAAGGAATGGAAAGTGATCAGACCCAGAGTGACATGACGTAATCTAGCACAGCCATGTGGTGAGACCAGTAAAGACTTTGGAAAACAGAGGGTCACGGAGCTTTGGGACATGTAAGCTCCATGCAGTGACCTCTCCCAGACCTCACTTCATATATCTCTGCACTTGTATACTGTTTTGTTGCACTTAAGTTGTTAACATAGGTGTGGTGACCCCTGTGACCTCTTGTGAGCTGTTTTAGTGAATTATTGGGCCCAAAGGAGAATGAAGCTGGATGACCTGAAGTGCAGAGATCACATGGATGCCCTACCTTGAAGCTGGTACCTGCTGACCAGGGGTGAAGGGGAAGGGATGGACTTATCTGAACTGGAAGAAGTCATATGGACTCCCAGGTTTGTGGCTCTTACCTGCTGACTCAGTCCCAAGTGACTGGAAAGGGAGTGAGAGAAAGGCTATGTGGGTAGTTGAGATTCCCAACGGGCAAAACCGACATGTGGAGTACAAGTTGTTATCTACCACACAATTTGGTGTCAGACTGGATTGTACAACTGGCACAGTTGGCAGGATTTGCTAGAGCAGAGACCCTAATAGCTCTCTCTATAAAAGGAGGATATATATAAAATTGCCATTGCACACAGATAGAGCTGTTTGAATAAGAAAAATTAAAGAAAAAGTCAACAGTCAGATATATTTTGAAGCTCTTTTAATTTTATTATGTTGCAAAATCCCAGAAAAGTATAAAGCTCATGAAGTTGAAACATTGCAAAAATAAGATAAAACATTTGCTTACATTTTAATTACATTTTAGTTTTGATGTTAAAAATACCCATGATTTCATACTGAAGCACACTGCTCAAAAATTAAGTATATTATGAAGTACTGGGAATTATTTAATATTTCTTATATTTGAGCCTAAATTCCTAAAAATGGCTGAATTATAGTCTTCTTCCCCCCTAGAAATCAAGTTCACGATCTACTCCTAAGAAAAATTACTTTTATTGATTCATAGTATCTTTTATATCAGACTTAGGAGAAGAAATATGAAGTAAGCAAAAATTACACAAACAACCCTTTAGTTTAAATAGCAATTTAGATCATCATTGAATTAATAAAATCATCTTTAATGCTTTTTGAAAAAGTGTCTACTTTTTTAAAGTAAACCAATAAAAATACCTAGATTCAGGTGTAGAGAAGAGGTTTGGTAATACAGGATGATTCTCTATCATATCAGTTATATAGATAAATAGGTACTGTTGAAATTCATGCTATTCTGAAAATCAAATAAATGCATGATTACATTCTAACAGCTTACCAGAAGTCATAATGAAACAATAAAATAGTTGCTACTTTTGCCAAGTAGCAAATTGGTCATCAGCAGCTTCAGTATTCATGTAATTAACTTTTAGCCGTGTGACACTTTTCAGTGGCTTTGGGTCTTATCATACTTTCTGCTATTACTATTACCAACATCACTACTACTAAAATAACAGCAAAAGTAAAGGAGAAAATGTAAGAAAATAAGTTAGAATCACTTGATAGTTCTTCCAAATATTGTTTTGGTTTGTCCTTGAACTGGAAATCATTTCTGCAAGGTTTGGAAAGAAAACAAAAGCATCTTTATAGTCCACAGCATGTATATTAGAGGTCTAATGATTTCTCCATTGCCAGTGTGGGCTAGCTTGTCATGTTCTCTTTATTCAATATCAACTGGTTCTGTAGCTATTAAAGCACTTAACTGTTTCTGGGCACAGGACAGGAACAGTTCCAAACTGGACAGGCTTCGCTGGCGGATAACTTGATCAAGCTGTTGATGTTTTTGTCATTAAAAACAGAAAGCGAGAGAGAAAAGACATTTAGAATATTATACCATGTTGTTGTTCAGTACAATGGAGTCGGTTTTGACTCATAGCAATGCTTCACAGGGTTTCCGAGGCTGTAAATCTTTACGGAAGCAGAATGCCTCATCTTTCTCCTGTGGAACTGCTGGTAGTTTCGAACTGCTGACCTTGCGGTTGGCAGCCCGGCTCATAACCACTAGGAACTCACTAAAAGACCTTTTCAGATGATATGATGTAGAAAATCAAGTAGAACATTAAAGTGAGTGATAATATTATCAATAGTTTTGGCTTATTATCTATACAAATCACATTTTTATAATTGATGTTGGTATTATTCAATTATTGTAGCAATACCAAAAATTTGAACAAAATTATTATAGAAAAATGCTAATTCTTAATAAAGGTAAACAAGAATATCCACAAATATTATGTAAATGTCACAAATGCAAGTAACAAAAGAAACAGCACAATTACATCATGCAGAGGAGCCAATGAAGTAAAGACAAGTGAGAAAATTAACAATTTCCTACAATTAGAGAAAACGTGTTGGGGAAGATATGTACATGTCTTGTTGTTGTTGTTAAGTGCCATTGACCGGTGAGCTTGAAGTGCTGACCTTGCAGTTCAACATGATTTTGCAGTCCAGCCCATTAGTCCACAGTGCCACACCAGGACTCCATATTTGGTGTTAAGTGCTGTCAAGTTGGTATGGAGTCATAGTGACCCTGTATAAGGTTTCCAAAGAGCCGTTAGTGGGTTTGAATCACCAACCTTGCAGTTAGCAGTCTAGTGCAGATCTTCCAATGCCACATCAGGAAACCCTAAACAGGGTCACTGTGAGTTAGAATTGATTTGACAGCACTTAACAACATATATATATTATGAGTGTGGTGGATTCATATAATAAGCACTGGACCGGGAACCACAAGGTCTGTGGTTTGAGTCTGCCAGCTGCTCTTTGGGAGAAAAATGAGATTGTCTGTTCCTATGAAGATTTAAAGCCTCAGAAACCCTATACGGGGTCTCCATGTGCATTTATCAGAAGTCCTAAAATAGCTTTGTAACATGACCACGTAGGACAGAGGCCACACCAAGGACTGAGGGACAGGGAGGCCTGCCTTTGGGTATGGTTGAAAAGCAGCTGTCCTGAACAAAGACCTGTATTCTGAGCATTTGTGAACCTGCATTATAACCTGTTAACTTCCCTAACCACCTCTGGAACTGTGTGTGGGGTGAACCCAGCTGAGTAGAGAGTGCTATGGCAGGGACAGTTGCTGCTTTGTTTCTGATAACTGTGTATTTCAATTATACTCGTTTTGCTCAGGGAGGCACTTGCTTTACAGTGTTTTCAAGCAGTGCCTGACACTTTTCAACCCTGAGTGAGTTCCAATGCATCAGTCCTTCAAGTAGTTCCCAGGCAGGTTGGAAGAGACAAACACAGTAATTTGCAAATAAGGTCTGTTCTACTGTCTTTGGAACCAGGGACTGAAATTATGAGCTGCTGTCTTCAAGACTATTGCTAAATTAGGCTCCTACTATTTTTATGTTGTCTTTTTTTAATTTAGCATTTACTTGGCTGTTATAGTCCTTTGACTATTTTATGAAGTTCTAATCAAGTTGTTTCTTATAAAGGTTTCTGGTTTATTTTGGTGTTTCTGTGGGAGGATGGGCACTAGAGTTGCTTAATCTACCCTCATTGATATAACTCCCCTAAAATGTTTCTTCTGAAGAATAAAAATTGATGCAATAAAACCAAGAACATCTGTATTTGGAGGGTGGAGGCAGGCAGGATAAGATATATAGATTCAGTTTGAATGTGGTTTCAGGGTGCTTGTTTTACCATTATGCTTCATCACTTAGATACATATATCATAGACGTTAGTTTTAACAACTCAAAGTCATTCAAAATCTTATAAAATAATCAAGAGCTTCGTTAAAAATAAATTTGATTCAATAGATTAGAATTTATGGATGTCAAATAAAGGAGAAACTTTTCATTCTGTGGGCATATAACACTAACTCACAATTTGTAGCAAACCTTTAACATGAGAGTCAGTAACATAGCAATCTGAATTTATGTATTCAAAATGAATGTTCTATATATTTTTTGTAAGAGACAGGAGATATATATATATATATAGAGAGAGACAAAAAAGTTTGAAAGATTCTTATTTAAACCTGCCAAACACTCTTTGATTGTGTTCGAAGTTACTCTGGAATAAGTGATTGTAAAGATCATCGGCACACTGGCTTTGGGTTTAGGCAGCTGCCAAGACTCATTGCATACCTTTCACCATGTCTCCCAGAACCATCTGAAGGCAAGTATCCATTAATTAAATAAGAGCACAGTGCTTTAAGAAATTCCAAGGTGGCACTGGTACACTGTGAGTGTTGTTGTTAAGTGCTGTTGAGTCGGTTCCAACCCATAGCGATTCTGTTTAGGGGTTCCAAGGAGCATCTGGTGAGCTTGAACTGCTGACCTTGTGGTTCAAATTGACCTTACAGTCCAGCGCATTAGTCTACAGAGACACACATTGTGAGTGGGGGGTAGAAATTAGGCCATCACAGAGCTGAAATTGTGACCCCATTTAAGGGATCTTTCCCAGGCATGTGAGAGGCAGTACTTGGGACATTTCTCTTTTAAGGATGCTGAATTCCTTTTTGAAATGAGCACATCAGACTGGTGTTTTTGGCGAATGCCTAACTTTCAACAGTTTCTGTTTTATTAGGTATGATCTTGTTATCTTTTATTGAAGCAAGAAAAATTTTGGCAAAATATGCAACTCTTTACTCCTTGAAAAGTGGGCTTCGGTTCTGCACTGTGGCTTTCATCTCAAAGTGAATAAAAGATTTGTATTCTGTGACACACTGCTGACAAACACTACATCTAGAGTAGTGGTGCAAACATTTTTGGATATGAGATACATAATCTTTTTATAATTGTGCAGATCTTCCATTTGCTGTTGCTTTAGTTGCTACTTAGCTCTTGCAGATACCCGAATAAAATCCTGGAAATTCTGATGCTTCTGAAATAAACAACTGGGTTTTATAAATCTCTTTGTCTCTGAAATAAATACCTGGACTTTATAAATCTTTTTTTCTCTCTCTATCTTTCATTCTTTGTCATCACTTCAGCTTACTTGAATACTGCTGAAAGCATGTGGAAATATAACTCTTTATTACAAGTTGTTCAGTTTACTACTCTTTGGGGAGAGGGGGAGAAAAATATGATTCCTCAGTAATCCTGTGTATTAGATTTACCTATTAGGATTTCTTGCCACAGCAAAAAGAAAAAGAAAGCGTCTCTAAACTTAGCTTTTATTTGTTAGTCACCAAAATACAATATGAAGGATGGTGAATTTGTGCTGATCGAAAAAGCAAATTTTATATCAAGTTTAAACAAATCTGGTTTATTTTGTTGGAAATATTTATTTAAAACACTGTTTACATTCTAGAAAATCTGATATATTGTTTTTAGAATATATACTTATTAAGACAGTACTAAATGTGGTTTCAGAAACCTTTGGGCTTCTACTAAGAGATGTATGGACACCTGGTGTAGCACTGTAGGATCAGTATTGGATTGCAAACACAAGGTCAGCAGTTCAAACCCACCAGCAGTTCCTCAGAAACCCTACACGGGGTCACTATGAGTCAGAGCTGACTCAGTGGCACTTAACAACAAAAACACTTAGAGATGTGGATATATTAGGTCTATCTGGTATGGCACTGTAGGATAACCACAAGGTCAGTGGTTAAAACCTACCAGCTGCTCCTTGGAACCCTATACAGGGTGACGATGAGTCTGAGTCAGAACTTACTCCACAGGCACTTTACAATAACAATAACAACATCCATTATCAATGTTACTTTCCAACCTAGCTTCTGGCATATTCCAAACGGATGCTTAAAAATGATCTCATTTATTTTCCAAAAAAGCTAGAATGGATATCCAGCAAATCCATTGATGGAAAGTGACTCACATACAAATGTTATCAGTTTAGTAGTAATAAGTTTCATGGATTCAGTTTTCACATTCACTTCAAGCTGTTCCATGGGCAAACAAAAAAGGTCAAGTATGATGATCTGGAATTATAACTGTACAGTCACATTTTCCAGTTAACATCGTTGTATTGAGTAAGAAAGATTGTTTACCTTCTAATGACAATTGAAATACTTTTTCAATGCCCTGCTTATTGAAAACACTGCCCTTTAATGTTGCTATTTAAATGTGAATACCTCTCTTCTTTTGATTTTATTATATATATTGCCCTCTCCCTCCAACCACCACCACCTACCTTCCTTGTGGCCAACCACATACATATACACAAACTGCCGTTTCATTCACATGTTTTAAAATTGAGTCAATCAATTAATCAATCAGTTGATCGGAAAAAAAAAAAGAAAAAAAGCAAGGTTGACCACCGTTTGTTTATGAATGTCGTCCTAAGCCTGGGCAAAAAAAGCCCAATATCTGTCTTTAAGTGCTTTCTACAATTTTTTGAGAGACACATGCAACTGTCAAAGAATAATTAAGTGCTAGCAGGATACTCCACTAAGGAGCTCTGGTAGCGTAGTGGTTATGAATCGGGCTGTGAACCTTACGGTCAGCAGTTCAAAACTACCAGCTGCTCCGTGGGAGAAAGATGAGGCTTTCTGCTACCGTAAAGATTTACAGCCTCAGAAACCCTGTACAGGGTCACTATGGGTCAGAACCGACTCGATGGCACTTAACAACAACAACAACAACAAAGATACTCACTGGACCCACAAGGCTGGTTTGAACTGCAAGGTTGGTGGTTCAAACTCATTAGTTACTTTTTGGAAACCCTATACAGGGTCAGTATGAGTTGGAACTCACTTGATATCACTTAACAACAACAATGGCAAAAATACAGTAAAAATTGAGTTCATTAGGTGTACATTAGGGAGAGATCATGGCAAGACAGTGCAGCAGAGAATACGT